GTTATTCCATGTTAATTATTTTTTCTCCGTGAAAAACATAGCAACTCATCTTATCCCGGGGTGCCAGGAAGTCGAGCTGCGGATCTCAGCAGAAAACTTCTCAAACTGATTCCAGGTTGATCCAGGTATACATTTGAAACAGGTTCTCCTCTGTGACGTGACAGTCGGAACGCATCTGCGTAACCATGGTTACAGGGGGACGCTTTGGAGCTCTGCTGCTCAGCAGCAAAATATTTCAGATCACTATGTAAATACTCCAACTCTAAAACCAAGTAAAATAAATATGCTGCATATGTGTATAGTGCGTTCATGTGTGTGTGTGCGCTGCGTGGTAACGTAGGCGCGTGCATGTGTGCCCCGGTCACAGCTCCTTTCAGCATGGCCGGAGGTAAGTCACTGCCACGTTGCTCTCAGCTAATTAAGGTTTGTTCAGATCCCAAGCTGCAATGTGAATACAGCCAAACCGCCGCGTTTTTGTTTGTCATTAAGAGACTCATTCGGGATAAGTTTTGTGGAGGGCGGAGTTCACTAATATACACTTATAATGAGTTTTAGCCGAGAACGCAGCTAAAATGCTAGCATGCTAAGTTAGCCTGATTGCTAGCGGCTACTCGCGGCAGTCTTTTTTTAACAGCATGCACTCTTTTTTCCTTCGTCAGGAGAGGTGTACTGGCAGTCGCGTGACACACACAGATCAGACACATATTTCTGTGTTGCAGGTATGGAGATGTTCTTATGTTTTGGAGATGCTGTCTTTCATTCATTGTTTTTATAAGTACAGTGTTGTATTGCCTGTTAGATGGCGGTTATTAATATAATTGTACTGAAGTATAATGTTTGAACTATAAGTACCAGAATATTGGGTCCTGGTTATTGAATTGTATTTATCTGACTGTTTATTTGTTTTTGAATTATTTGTTTATTGTTCTTATAAGTTGTTTTTGATGTTTTTTCAGTGACATATTATTTATTTTGTGCTTTTTGTTTTTGAGAGCTTAAGTTAATGTTTTAAAACAATTTGTTGTATTTGATTCATTATATTATTGTAGTGTTAATGAAGCTGCAGACACAGCTCCTTTCAGCATGGCCGGAGGAGAGGTGTACTGGCAGTCGCGTGACACACACAGATCAGACACATATTTCTGTGTTGCAGATGTGCAGTAAAGAGCCAAAGACCCAGTACTGTCTCCTGCCTCTTACTTTCACGCCAGAACACAACGCAAGAACAACAGGCGTAACACATGAACGGGTTACACATACTGAGGTGAGTTGTTGAGGATATGTCGAGCTGTTGATGAGCACGGCTGGTTTTGTGCTCTTATATACTGTTAGCCTGTTTTGCTGGCGTTAGTGAAGCTGTTTTCAACTGGATGTAACATTGTTGAACTCTGATGATTAATGAATAAACTCTCGATGTGACGACGTGAGCACGTAATTGTAACCCTGTGTTCATTTAGTCGTTTGATACCGTTTAATATCCAGTACATCTATTGGGTGTTTTATAACATGCCCTGGAATCATTTTAAGTTTTACAATGCCGGTGATTTACGACTCTTTCGCGACAGTCAACTGTGGCGTAAACTCTGGCGGGTCTCAGAGCTAGCTTATGTGAGCCAGCAGTGACATCTATACATGCAGTAGCCTTAAAATACTGATTATTTATTCTCCTGCTAGGTAAGAATTTGTGTTTTATACGTTTATTGTCACATTGTGCGCCATGTTATTGATTCGGTGAAATGAATTTCTACAATGGCGGACTTAGACAAAATAGTGTTACTGTTAATTTGACTCTCTGCAGTGTTTAAATGCTTACATATACACACACAGTTACTGTCCCTCCACACGTAGGACTCAGTTCTGCTTCTATGCCCCATCTTTGTTTACTCTTTCCCACCCAACAAGTGCATAAATAAGATGTTAAAAACGTCATCATCATATCAAACATGATAGATTTGGGGGGAGTTTGTTTGGCACATGCTGACTGCATTCTAATTATAACCAGAAGAGGAGGCGAGAGTAGAGAACGAGAGTGCAGCAGTTTGGTGAAAGGAACAGGTGAAGAAGAGGTGAGCATCCAAGAGACGAGCAAGAGGACAGTTTCAAAGCAGACATTATGGCACAATAAAAGCTGTAAGAGCAGAGATTCATTCATATCTTTACTATTTTTCTTTAGCTTCTACTCCCGCTGCTTACAATAAATCCGAGATAAAGAACAAACAAGAACAACTCACATGGCATTGATTGTTTAGTTCAGTGTCACTCTGTGATTGTTTGACATTTCATATAAATGTGACTCTAAAATATAGCCAATAATATTAAAAAGCTGCTGTTACTGAGTGAAACTTGAAGGATTATGATAAACTTCAGTTCTTACTGAATCTGTAACATTGCTTTTTTAAAAATTGTTAAATTACTTTTGTGTCACTGTGCACAGTGAAAAGCTCACCTGATGTAGTGGTGAGGCCATGTTCACCACTAGATGGAGACAACCTGGCACAGGTATTTTCTATACACAAAATTTCACACTGAAAAGCCTTGGTGGGAATTGTTGTTTCATAGAAAGTAAAGGAAAACATGTCTTGAGGTCTTTTTCCAGTGTTTTCAAAATTGTGTTTTTCACATACACATCAAAACTTCACACAGACAAACACACACACAAAACAACAAAATATGTCAAATTAGGGAGGGCAGAGAGGGCAGCCTTTACATTGTTTTATTGTAGAGTGACAGGAACTGCCTATGAGCTTCTAATCAAGCAGAAGTGTTGACGGAAAATCTATCAAAGGAAATACATTGATGAAAATCAAAGAAGAGCAAATGTATGTGATGTTCCATTTTCCTGAGAGCTGATTGGCTGTGATGACTCCTTCAAGTACTTTGTCCTGCTAGTTAAGCCTGCTGTCTGTTCTCAGGCCTCCTCCTGTTTCACTGCCATATATCCACCACCAGAGGGCTCCACTGACCTGCCTGCTGACATCAGAGCACACCCCTGTGTCATGTGACCTGGCAGGAGTAGCAAAGCTGGACTCAGACCTGGCCCAGGCAAGTTCAAAGGCAGCTGTGGTAGAGAGAGTATATGGGCTCAAATTGTGCTCATAAATATTTTGTACTTGTAAATCAATTTGTGTGTGTATGGGATCAGAACGATGCCACCTTGAAATGAAACCGAAAAAAATATTGAAACTGAAAAAAATATTGAAACTGAAATAAATGTACAGCGCGGCTGCGGTCACGGACAAACTTGCATGTGTCTGTTCGGGAATGGCAGATGCTGAGAGGTCCAGCGTTTACATTACCGGCTATTTCAAAGTGACAGCCTGAGGTGTTCTTCAGTAAATTGGACTACCAGACAGGAGGACCTGAGGCCCCACCGTATTCTTTTCGGTAAGTTAAATGTGTGTGTAAGCTAATCCATAACTTAGGTCCTTAGGTGAGCACTTGGCTGTCGGGGAAACTTGTTTTGTAAAGTTCGTTTAGCTAACCCGTGCAGGTGAATGAATTTACCCTGACTAAAGAAATCAAGAGAAACGCACCGGGCTGCTCAGTGACTAACCACGGTTACTGTACTTTTATTATGAGTATTATACTGTAAGAGCAACAGGCTGGACTCTGCTTCTGCTCCTGTGCAGAGCTGATTATTAATAAGAAGCTCGGTATACAGACAAGGATAACACAGTACCCGGGCTAGAAAGACAACTCCAGTTTGAGGCGCATGTCCTCCTGACATTTGGTGTTTGTGTTAACGATCCAATGGAAAAGCTTTGATGGGAGTGAGCTGTTCACTTGCACTATAGCACACAAAACGCTGCGCTGAGCACTGAGTGTTGCATCCGTGTACACACTGCATTGCTTCATATTTCCCTCGTAAAGTAGGAAATGGGTGGAGCAGTTTATTAAAAGGGTAAACGTACATGGGTTTGATTGTAAGGCCCAAACAGAGCTGGCACAGGTCTAACAAGCATGAAGGGACAAACTGAGTGTGACATAAGGAAATGCTTACATGTGTAATTATCTTGATTACTGGTGAAGGACTACGTCACATGTAATCAAACATGACTCATTACTTATAAAAACCCTTTAACTAAAAGTGTATCAGAAACTCTCCTCTACTGTTTACTCTGTTTATCACCCAACAGTGACCTCGACCCTCTTCAAGCTCCTCACTGGTCAGTTCGAGTCAGGACGGCTGAAAATCCTCAGTGTTTACTGGGTAAGTTAAACTGATCAGTGGGACACTCAGGGGCAGAGACCATGATGCTTTGGGGCAGACCACAGAGGTTTTACTAGTCAGTACAGATTTCAAACACACCGCTACATACTACATTAAGGTCAGTGCATTAAGTGCACTGATCTTAATGTTGTATTTTTCTGGTTGCTAATACACTTGGATCCATTACAAACATACACATTGTTGTGTGATGTGTGAAGACTTTTTATGGCTTTGTTTTTTGTCCAAACAGCACAGAGGAAACTATTTCTAAGCTAAAATTCATGCATCAAATGATACGCAGCAGATAAGACGGATGTAATCAAGCTACCGATAGAAAGAACATAGTCAAGGACAAATAAAGTGTCTTTTTTTCCTCATTGTTCTATGTGTGGGCCTCCTACTTCCTCCCACAGTCCAAAGACATGCAGTTAGTGGGGACAGGTTCATTGGGGCTCTAAATTTCCCACGGTGTGAATGTCTGTCTCTGTGTTTGCCCTGCGACAGACTGGCGACCTGTCCAGGGTGTGCCCCGCCTCTCATGATAGCCCCAAGCACTTTACATGTGATGTAAAGTGGACTTTTCTTTTGTTGCCACATCCATGATTTAGAAAATGTTACACAGATGTTGTCCTGCTTCGCTGTGCTGAAGCGTGTGCTTCATGAAAAGTTTGAATAAGAAAATATCAGGTCAGTAACTGTTTGTGTTCCCTGTAGGTGAGGCTGTGACAGAACTCTTTAAACTCTGCTGTAGGACTGAGTGTACAGAGGAGATTCCTGGAAGAGGATACGCTGAAGATGAGGGCAATGGTCAGGTTCCTGGCTTTACTTGTTGAGTGACCATACTGCATTCTGGAAACGTGCGTAGCTTACTGGGAGATCTGGGCATCTGTGCTGACCCAGGCCTCAGCAATTGAACAGAAACTCTTGGATGTGTTTGTCGTCTGTAGAAAACAGTGATATCAGCTCTGCTTTGTCCAAGCTGACCGAGCCAGCAGCAACTGTGCCCATTTCCAAACTGTCTGTCTCCAACATGGTGCACAGTGCCCGGAAGCACATTCGCCGCCATTGACGCATCGATGAGTCGCCCCTTAACACCGAGATACTCAATTCTGTCCTTCTGGTAAGAGTTAATCATGTAACCTGTTTAAAAGGCATTAACTAGTCGGAGTTGACTAATACTTGACTGAGTTTTAATGGTTTCAGCTCATTTTATGAGGAAACTGATTCTGACAGAAGAGGTGTGGATCCCGTGTTAGGAGACGGTGAGCGTGATATTCAGAGCAGCAGAGACCTCGGAGCGTGTGGTAGTTTGACTCGTACTGATGTGGCTCCTCTGCTTCTTTTCACAAACAGTTTTTCCTTCCTGGTCACTGTTGAGCCCGTCACACTCAGCAGCTCGAGCTCGAGCTAAGACAGCCTTGAATCTTAAAACTACAGCCGTAATTGCATTTATGTCTTAGAGTGCTGGCCACAGATATTGATCCCATCTGACAGCAGCTCAGTAAAGCACAAGAGCGTCATCTTAAACAGGATATCAGGCAGCGTTCTTATTTTTATTGTCTACTTCTGGTCACATCCTGCTTTTGCCACTGAGCGATCAGCATCCTGTGTTTTATCATGAAGTGATGACTACGTGAGCTGCACTTGTTTAATTCTTCTAACATCTAGAAAACAACAGAGTTTCTAAATGACAGACTTATTTATTTGTGTTTGTGTCTCTGTTTCCAGATGCTGCTGTGGAGAAGTCTGACTGTAAGAATAACACTCAGCTGTCCAACTCCAGTGGGACATCGGAGCAAGAGAAAACCTCTGATTATGTATGTTTGCCTCTTCACCACTCGCACACTCAAGGTTACACTCAGGTCAGGTCCAATATAAGTTTCAGAGTGAAGACGGGCTCAGTGCTGTCAGTACTTTGTCAGGATTTTTATTAGAATGTATTAAATTTGGTGTCCTGCTGTTTGATTTCATGCTGGTCTTTTCCCTCGTTGTAGAACCTTTTCCACCAGCTGAAGTCAGCCCCCAGTGACAGTCTGACCTACCGTCTGGCTCTGTGTGTGTGTCTGGTCAACTATTACTACGGTGGGCTGCGGGCTGTTGGACACCTCTGGCAGGAGTTTGTCCTTGAGTTGCGTTAGCGGTGGGAAAATAACCATCTTATTTGTGGGTGGGTACCTCACAGGCTCGTGCTGCTTTGATTTTAAAGATGTCACACATATTAACATTTTCATTTTATAGCAGGTAAAATAAGTATTGAACACGTCAGCAGTTCTCTAAGCAAATATATTTCTAAAGGTGCTTTGATGTGAAATTATCACCAGATGTCGGTAACACAGGGACATTAAACACACAGACATTTATTTAGTACTTTATACAAATGTTGGTGATGACAGTTCATGGCAGCTTCTGTATGGAGAAACCAGTCCCATCATTGCTCATGACTTTGACCCACTCACCACACAAACAGTCTCTAAATCCCGAATGCTCCGTGGATCCTTCCCACAGATTCAGCTCAGGTGATTGGCTGGGCCGTTCCAGCAGCTTTACTTGATTTCTCTGAAACCAACAGTTTCCATTGGCTGTGTTTGAGATCATGGTCTTGCTGAAACATCCATCCTTGTTTCATCTTCATCATCCTGGTAGATGGCAGCAGATTTTAATCAACAATGTCTCCATTCATCCTTCCTGGAGTTAGATTTAATGGCTCAGTCCCTTTTGCAGCTTGTTATAAAGTTTTTATGCATAAGTTTTCTAAGCAATCACACATTTTTTTGGGAACATCAAAATCATAATGCTCCCACCTCCAGTGTTGCTGTGGTGTTTTTGGGATGCAGCCACCCAAACACGGTGTGTTTACAGCATTCAGAGAGTTTTGCTCTTAACAAAGGCAGTCGCACTTTTCTCCTCTCCCTTATCTTCCCTGCTTAGCCTCTTCTGTCCTTGTCTAGTCTCGTGTTTTTTGTATTACTTTTCCCTGGAACACTCTCTCACAGTCTGTTCTCTAAAACCTAAAAGAGGAATTATGGATTGGATCAACTGCCCCCTGAATGCAATTGACACCCCTTTCTCAACGAGAAGTCTGGGCTCGGGTGAGCCTGAGTGCTGAAGATATCTACCTATTCGGAACCATGGTAACAGGGTTCTGGCTGATTGGAGCTGGCTTGGCCCTGACTTATCGAAGAATTAAGAAAGCGGAACCGGCTGTTCAAACCCCCACAAGGCTGCCCGCTGGGATTCAAACGATGGGAAGAGGCGTGAGTTTCTCAAAATGGGCTCATTGAACGCAGCATGGATAAGATCTTGGAGAAGCGCACGGCTGCTGTGAACACTCAGAATAAGACTTCTGAGTGCAAATTGGATCACATCTTGGAGAAGCTGACTGCGGTCGTTGTTAACTTGTTATTTTCTGTTATATTGCGAGAGTACTGTTGCCTGCGAAGGGTTGTTGTTGGTGTGGAGAAAAATGGCGTAACAAATAAAGCGCTGGGAGTGAGACTACGACGTCGTGTCTTTTGAGTTAACAGTCGTGAGTTCTCAGAATCGGCTCTCTGAGCACAAGAATGACAACATCACGGAGCGCAAGTTTGATAACATCATGGAGAAGCTCACGGCTCTCCAACGGGAGATTGAGAGACCAGTGTCGGAGTGTTAGAACAGCTTTGAAATTCATATGAGCTGTTCGCACTAAAGTAAAAACCTCCATCACTTATGCGGATACCCCTTCGGCCCCAGCCGTGGGCTCAAGGCTGGAGCCGAACAACAACTCCCTGATAACGACTGTGTGTAGACTGTTCTTCCCACTCCATGCAAGGCCACCTGGGTTGGCTGGAAGACTGTTTACTTAGCCTGGCAGGGAGGAGGACACTGTCTCAGCTGAACTCTGGACACGCACACACTTACACAGACATATATATACACATGCAGATGTACACTCCTCCCCCCTCCAAACGCCTTCGACGCTTATTCCCCTCCGATGCTGACGGTGGATCAAGGAGACCAGCGCACGCAGGCCCGGATGTGCTGTCTACACTGGCTGTCTCTCACCCTTTACCCATCCCTGTTGCTTGTCATGTGTTTCTTTCGTGTATTAAGAGTTTTTTCATGTGCAGAGGTGTTTTTTTTCTGTTCTCAAACTGATCTCCCTGTTGGAGCTCAGTCTGGGGGGAGTTATTTTTGTCTCCTTATCTTTGGTGCATTGTGGTGCATTTTCCATTGTTATACCTCTCTGACCTGTCTTCCCCATGTGATGTTTGTGCCATGTATGTATGGTCAGAAGGGTAAGATGGCGCTGGCAAAGGTCGGCAGCCTTAACCCAATTTCCATCGGGGTCAGCCTTCAGGATCAATAAAGTTTTATTGAATTGAATTGAATTAAGTGACCAAACTATATTAAAGTTAAAGCGTATTGTTGTACCTATGCATTACACTGGAGCAGAGCTTACATACATTCTTACCTGCTTACACTCATCATTCATTGGTGGAGTTGCCCACCCCTGGGTTAAATGTTTGTCTGTCTCTCTGTGTTCGCCCTGCGACTGGCGACCTGTCCAGGGTGAACCCCGCCTACATAAGTAAAAGAAATTCTTATACACACATTAGCGTCAGTGTGCCCTCGAGTTGCTACATGTCTGCTAGTTTTACTGTTCAGGATGTTTTGTGTGTGTGTGTGAACTGCCTGCAGTGAACATAACTGTGCAGTCACACACACAGTAGTCACAGAGAGTACTGCTGTGGTAGGGTGACCATAAAGAGGACACTGGGCCCAGTCATGAAGAACTTTAATAATACTGTTAGCTTAAAGAAAACGACGTCTTCTCTGTGCAGTTAATGAATGGGATATTAATGAATTAATAAAAAATGTCATGTAGGCTTTTACAAGTAAACTAGTGTGAAATAAGAGGACTGTTGATCAGCCTACGCTGTGGAAAGCTGTGACTCTGTCACTGACACGTGTGGCATGATGGATGCAGTCATGCTGGGAGAAGCTACGTGAGTGCAGAAACCTCTTATCACCAGACGATCACGTGGTCGTCAGTTTTCAAACAGCTCATTGCAGTTTGATAAATCATCTTCAGAGGTTATTTGAACCTTGTCTTTGCAGAGACCTGCAGACCTGAGGCAGTAATGCAGTGATAATGACCAGCACACAGTGTAAGTCATGCTGCAGCTGCCCTGAATCTACAGTGTTGGTTATTCCCACCATGTCTCTATGTTTCTGATCCAGTGTGGACGAGCTCTTTATTCAGTCTGAACTGGTTTTAATACTAAAATACAATTGATTTGTTATTCATAGATTTTCAGATTTACTCTTACACAAAAAAGTAAAACATTTTTGTTGCCAGATCACACGTATTTACTTCCAGTCCTGAACAGAAGGAAATCGTTTTGATGCCTAAATGACATTTTATGTTCAGTGACAGCCTGGTGTGCTTGGGTCCATGAATGCAGTGGTGTTGTGAGTGGGCCCTGTTCGAGTCGTCAGTGCCAGTATGAGGTGTCAGTGAATATATTTACACATTACTTCATTTAAAGTACGAGTTTGTGTCTCTGTCCACAGGCAGCCAACCCCGGCTGTGTCCTGGAGGATTTTGTGCGCTGGTATTCACCTCGGGATTACGTAGAAGAGGAAGTGGTTGATGAGAAGGGCAACACGATGGTGACCGGGACACTCAGTCCCAGGATGAAGATCCCAGGCAACATGTGGGTGGAGGCTTGGGAGACTGCCAGGGTCACACCTGCACGACGCCAAAAAAGACTTTTTGATGACACCAAGGAGGCCGAGAAGGTCTGAAGCAGGTCGTTCGTTTTGCCACATGCGTGTTTTAAGCCAAACGTGTTTACTAAGTGGATCACAAAGTGTTTTCATGAATGTTTCTGCTGATTTTCAGGATCCGCTTGTGCCATGGGACCGTTTTGGCTCATGTATGTTGGAGAAGTCAGTTTAACACAGATCTGTGCTCACAGACATGTTGAAGCATTTTCACATGTTGATGAAAAAGGATCTGATGCTGTCACACACGATGTTTAACTGACACACAGCAGCTTTCTGTGGTGTGATGTGTTAAATGAAGAACAACTTTAAACCAGCTTCTATTAATGATCCGGTCGGCTTTATGGGAAAGGGACAAACAGTAACTGGGGTTGTTTCCTCACCCAAAGAGGGTCCTGGATTTGGACCCGGGCAGGTCCCTGCCAAGCGTTTGCATGTTCTTCCTGCACATATGAAAGCAGAGCTCGGAGCTCCAGTTTGCACCATCACTGAAAATGTTGCCTGTCTTTTAAAGACATTGTTTATCCAAAAAGAGAAAGTTAAAAATAATGCTCACTGATAGTCTTATGACAGATTTAAAGATCTGGGTATGACTGGTCCCTCTGTGAATAACCATCATAGAGAAAGGTCACCGTTTATCTGGAGTCTTCTTCAGAGGCAGCCTGTTGGCTGTGCAAAAATATTCTGTTGATCTGAAAGAGCAAAAGGAAAACAGAAGCCAGGCAAACTAAACTTTTTGGGGGTTTGTCTTTAGGTTCTGCACTACATGGCGATGCAGAAACCTGCAGACCTGGCCCGTCACCTCCTGCCCTGTATACTTCATGCAACTATTCTGAAGTTGAAGGAAGAAGGTAAGTCCTCACCGTTTGGTTGAGAAACACGTTTATATGAAATAAAATCAGGGAAAATAACTCTAAGCCCACAGCAGGTAAATTACAGTAAGACCGAAACACAAAAAACTAAAGATATTAAAATAAGTACTAAGAAAATGAAATGCAACCCGAGATGTTAATGGAGAAAAAAAACCAGAAGCTGCATGAATAAAAAAGTAGAAATCTTGGACGCTGCCAGCATAATGCACAGGCTTTTGATGGGGCTCGCACACAAACACAAAGCAGAGGATTAAGCATCACCAAATATGTTTCCAAGCCAAAGAAGATAAGATGAAGCATACCTGCGCAGCGGTGGGTGATGAGGAGAGGCCGCAGCGTGTCTGACTTAAAGTGCAAGTTTGTGACAGTTTAAAGCTTAGCAAGCTAAGACGCCAAATATCCAGAGCACAAAGACAAGTCAGAGGGCTTTTTCAGACACACACTTCTAAACCGTCGTGCTCAACAGTGTCTCTGCTAAAACTGCGTCTGTGCTCTGCCCCAGTAAAGTTGCCTATCGAGTGCTTAATGATAAGGTGCATGGTAGCTGCTTTCCTCTGCAGGTGGATGAAGCCACTGATAGCGACAAAGGAATGACTTCTCTGCAGACAGGCTCCTGGCAGAGCCACTGCAGAGGAACTCTTTACAATCACTGACTGTGAAACGTGAGGACTGTGTGGGGATGTGCAGACGGGGGCGCGACGGCTGGGAAACGAGGAGGGCTGCAAGTGGATGCACTGTATGATACACGCTGGTGTCTAGACAGCTCAGTCCTGAGCTGAGTGATGTAATGACTGATTGCATCGACACAGTCATTACATCAAAATACAACCCCTTTTTTTCGGCACTGAAATGAAACAGGCTCCGCCCACACAGCCGTTCTGTATCACAGCTGTGATGCAAAAAGATTTGGGCACCACTGGTATAGAGTGACTGGAACCCAGAACCTGGAAGTGTCCAGTGATGTGAGGGTAAAGGACGTCTCACTGTGTACTTTGGTGCACAGATGAGTTTGGTCGGTTCAGTGAATGCAGCCCATGAGCTGCAGAAAAAGCCCAAATCCTGAGCCCCCCAAGATTTGGGCTCAAGATGTGTTCTGCACTGCAGGCCCTTGGACTCCATCAGGGTTTGGGCCAGTTTTGAGCTCTTATAAGTATCAGAGATGGACACGTGATATTTTCAGGGCTGCGTAGGCATGATGGGTAGAACATGACCCTGGTGTTAAAATGCAGGTAAATGTGATTTAGTTTAGCTACCCAACCCTCACTGTGAAAGGAGCCTGGAAAGTTTCCCCAACATGAATTTCTTTCAGTCAAGTTTTCTCCAGTAATGATCAGAAATCAGATAAAACCCACTCTTTATTTTATTCTACACACAATAAATTGATAATTATTCCAGGATACAGAAAAGTCTAGATTTCGTCTTCAGACTGTCACATCTGGAGCAGGGCATAATTTGATTTGGTTTCTAGAAGAAGCTAAAGATCTTTCAGTCGTGTTGCTGTTGTTCCCTGACACCTGCAGTGCAACCATTAATTTAGCTAATGAGAGTTCACGTATAATTATAACAGGTCTTAGTTTCTGGATCGTCTCTAAGTTGACGGTATACTGCTAAGACCAGTTCTGAGTCTAGAGACAGCCAATGAGAGACACTAGTAAGGACATCACTGAGGAGAGTTTTCTAGTACTTTGGAGAAACCTCAATCAGCTAACGTCCTGCTGTGATACTCAGACCTTTTCTCTAATTAAACCAGAAAGCTAGTTTTCATTTATTCTGTAATATCCCAGAATGTTTCAGCAGGTCAGAAATGCTTTGGTGAATATCCAGGTTGTATGCAAATTAATTCTGATTAAGTCTGGACTACAAAATACAAAACATAGCTTGGACACAACAATAATGTCCTCGTTTCACTTCTTTAAAAAATGTATTTTGATCTTATGACACTTACTAAAAGCTTTACTTCCAGAGGTTGACAGAGACGCTCCGTGCTGATAACACGTGAATGTGTGAAGGTTTGTATCATATCTATCTAATAGACTCCAGTTTGTGCATGTACAGTGGGGCAAAAAAGTATTTAGTCAGCCACCGATTGTGCAAGTTCCCCCACCTAAAATGATGACAGAGGTCAGTAATTTGCACCAGAGGTACACTTCAACTGTGAGAGACAGAATGTGAAAAAAAAAATCCATGAATCCACATGGTAGGATTTGTAAAGAATTTATTCGTAAATTAGGGTGGAAAATAAGTATTTGGTCAATAACAAAAATACAACTCAATACTTTGTAACATAACCTTTGTTGGCAATAACAGAGGTCAAACGTTTACTATAGGTCTTTACCAGGTTTGCACACACAGTAGCTGGTATTTTGGCCCATTCCTCCATGCAGATCTTCTCGAGAGCAGTGATGTTTTGGGGCTGTCGCCGAGCAACACGGACTTTCAACTCCCGCCACAGATTTTCTATGGGGTTGAGGTCTGGAGACTGGCTAGGCCACTCCAGGACTTTCAAATGCTTCTTACGGAGCCACTCCTTTGTTGCCCGGGCGGTGTGTTTTGGATCATTGTCATGTTGGAAGACCCAGCCTGGTTTCATCTTCAAAGTTCTCACTGATGGAAGGAGGTTTTGGCTCAAAATCTCACGATACATGGCCCCATTCATTCTGTCCTTAACACGGATCAGTCGTCCTGTCCCCTTGGCAGAAAAACAGCCCCATAGCATGATGTTTTCACCCCCATGCTTCACAGTAGGTATGGTGTTCTTGGGATGCAACTCAGTATTCTTCTTCCTCCAAACACGACGAGTTGAGTTTATACCAAAAAGTTCTACTTTGGTTTCATCTGACCACATGACATTCTCCCAATCCTCTGCTGTATCATCCATGTGCTCTCTGGCAAACTTCAGACGGGCCTGGACGTGCACTGGCTTCAGCAGCGGAACACGTCTGGCACTGCGGGATTTGATTCCCTGCCGTTGTAGTGTGTTACTGATGGTGACCTTTGTTACTTTGGTCCCAGCTCTCTGCAGGTCATTCACCAGGTCCCCCCGTGTGGTTCTGGGATCTTTGCTCACCGTTCTCATGATCATTTTGACCCCACGGGATGAGATCTTGCGTGGAGCCCCAGATCGTGGGAGATTATCAGTGGTCTTGTATGTCTTCCATTTTCTGATGATTGCTCCCACAGTTGATTTTTTCACACCAAGCTGCTTGCCTATTGTAGATTCACTCTTCCCAGTCTGGTGCAGGTCTACAATACTTTTCCTGGTGTCCTTCGAAAGCTCTTTGGTCTTGGCCATGGCGGAGTTTGGAGTCTGACTGTTTGAGGCTGTGGACAGGTGTCTTTTATACAGATGATGAGTTCAAACAGGTGCCATTCATACAGGTAACGAGTGGGGGACAGAAAAGCTTCTTACAGAAGACGTTACAGGTCTGTGAGAGCCAGAGATTTTCCTTGTTTGAGGTGACCAAATACTTATTTTCCACCCTGATTTACGAATAAATTCTTTACAAATCCTACCATGTGAATTCATGGATTTATTTTTTCACATTCTGTCTCTCACAGTTGAAGTGTACCTCTGGTGCAAATTACTGACCTCTGTCATCATTTTAAGTGGGGGAACTTGCACAATCAGTGGCTGACTAAATACTTTTTTGCCCCACTGTAAATGGAGAGTCCTCTTCACACACTGAGGTTAATTATGGAGTTCCACAGGGTTCAGTGCTAGGACCAATTCTGTTTACATTATACATGCTTCCCTTAGGCAGCATCATTAGAAGACATAGCATACATTTACACTGCTATGCAGATGACACCCAGCTCTATCTGTCCATGAAGCCAGATAACACACACCAATGAGTTAAACTGCAGGAATGTCTTAAAGACACAAAGACCTGGATGGCCGCTAACTTTCTGCTTCTTAATTCAGATCAAACTGAGGTTATTGTACTCGGTTATTGCAGATGGCCCCGCCCCTCCCTGAGCCTGGCTCTGCTGAAGGTTTCTTCCTGTTTAAAGGGAGTTTTTCCTTGTGCCAAAGCACATGTGGGTATAGTCCTGGACAAAAGGCCTAGTTTCTATTTTGCAGATGTGTTCTGTGATCCTCTGAAATAGCTGGATTAATTAACTCCAATAATAATCCATCAAGACTTTGTGGATATGTTTTAATCTCTGTAAAAATTATTATAAAATGTTGTGAAGGTTTTGTTTATTTCAAAAGGATCTGTATTAGTAAGATAATAGTTTGCAGGTTTACTCGATTTTAGGCTTTTTCTCATGTTAACAGTAATTGAGGTTACAAACGTGGCAGGTCTTTCTTTTAATCACAGCTTTCTGTCACTCTGGAAACACTGTCATTTCTTCTCTTTCAGAGTTTGCTGAAGATATTCCATCAGTGCAAAAAACCATTCAGCAAGCTACAGTTCAAGCGAGCAAGCTCCTGCAGTCCCCCAACCAGGACTACAAGAAGTTAGAGGTCAGTGAAAACTCGACCGGACTTTCCACAAAGAATTCAGTTTAAAAGAAAGTATCATTAGATTCACCCAAAAAAGTTTTGTTTTTAAATAAATTATTGATTGATTGTTAACTGTGTTTGTGTTGTAGTTGAGTATGTGCTGTACATGAGGTGTACGTAGACTGGACAGTGTGCACCATGGCTGAGAACTTGGCTGATAATTATTATGGCCATTGATGGTTGAACCATGAAAACAGGGGTGTGGTGCAGTGGGATTGTAGTGGGAGCTGGAGTAACAAACTCCAGTGCTTCCTCAGTGATGGCTAACTTTTTTCTAAACCTAGGTAATTCCTTCGGCTGTTCCCACCTGGGCTCAAAGCTTTTATACTCTGCTGATATCGGATGTGTTTATCAGTGATCGAAAGCAGAGACTGAGATTGTTATTATTGAGTTTGATCACACGTTAGGTGCATTAAACGTCTGCTTTAATACTGTCCTAAAGTCTGAGAACAATCATCACTTCTTCACATATAAAAATGTTCTTCTCACTAGCACTCAGTATCCATACAGCCCCTTTTCTTTGAATAATACTGTACAGCTGCACAGCTAAACCCCACCATGTTAGTTTTGCTTGATTGGACAGTCTTGTTGTGTAAAAGCATTCTTGGCTTTCTCAAAGTACATTTAAGTATGCCATGTATCCACTGTGACTCCAAACACGCCTTTTACACCCCGAGACTCAGCCTATAACGTTCCACGTAGGAAAAACCACGTATGTGTATAAATGTGACAGTCTTGGGGTCTCATGCTGTCAGGATTGAGCAGACAGTTGTTCTTGTCCTGTGTGCAGGATTTCATTAACCAGCTGCTGAGCATGGAGACAGTCATCACTCAAGCTCGCTCGCTCAAGGCCAAGTTCTCCGTTCCTGAGGACGACAGCGGAGAGGCTGCTGATGAACTGAAGAAGTGAGTCGCAGAGTTTGAGCTGCGCTCACTGACAGCTTTGTTTGTGCTGTTGGTGACATGTAACCGTCTTCACCGTCACTACAGATAGTTAGTCAGTAACTTGTTGTCACGATGAATCTGTTTCACAAAGACGCCGTCTGAAGGATCACAGTCAGTTCACACGTTTCTTTCTTGCTCATGTTGGTGGTCTTATTTTATAGTTTTGGTGTCTTCAGGTTTCACATGTTCTTATTTAAGTGTTTTGTTTTGTGGGAATATTGTAACATTTTCCACATTGTGTGTTGTCTCTAGGTTTGTGAGCTCCCTGCTGGAGGAACCAGAGGTGGTAGTGACAGGAGCAGGCCAGGGCCTGGCTGGCAGTATAATCCACAGACTCTTCATCAGTGCTCAGAGGGTAACTCTCACTCTGCCTCCGTGTCCTTCCCACGTCTTGCTGTCAGTTTCATGCATACAGTCATGTATTTGTCATCTATAGAGACATCTTTAGAGGTACACACACACACCACACTTATTCAATATCAGCATCAAGAATAGGTCGGTGTCCCGGTCCTAGAACAAGACATGAAGTCAGCGCTGTTTTATTTATATATACTTCATGTAGATGAAACTGGAAGGACGTGGTCAGCACTGATGTAAAGACGCAGTGTTTTCTGTCAGTGTCAGGAGAGTCTGCTCTATTGTAACGTTGTTTCTTCCTGAAACACACAATTGCTGCTGCTGTGCTGTGAAGCACGTTCAGAGCTATAAGAACCAGTCTGTTTAACTATCAATGAAAAATGAAGAATTATCAGTGACAATTCTGCAGGAAAAAAGTTGTGCAGCTCTCTCCACAGTGGAGCAGATCTCCTTCCTGTCTTTGACGCTTCTTTTTCTCTTTCTGCAGTAACAACTATTAATGTGCATTTGTATATGTTTACAGTGTTAGCAGAAACAAAGCTTTGGTGGCCGTGACTCCAGAGATGGAGCCGAGTATCTAATCGAATCATCGGTTTGTTCTTTAAGCCTTAAAAGTGTCCATGTGCTCCACACTGGATCCCAGATTGACTCTGATGCATCAACTGGAACATGAATTCAAAATCCTGCTCCTCACATTCAAGGTCTTAAATAATCAGGCCCCATCTTATCTTAATGACCTTGTAGTACCATATCACCCTATTAGAGCACTTCGCTCTCGCTCTGCAGGCCTAGTTGTTGTTCCTAGAGTATTTAAAAGTAGAATGGGAGGCAGAGCCTTCAGTTTTCAGGCCCCTCTTCTGTGGAACCAGCTTCCAGTTTGCATTCAGGTGACAGACAAAACTTTCCTCTTTGATAAAGCACATAGTTAGGGTTGGATAGGCAACCTTGATTAGTCTGCAATAGACCCTGTGCACGAGAAAATGCTAACTTCCTGTTTTAAGATCGGATGCAGGGTTGTACATTTCCGGTAGCTTTACTTTGCGGTCAATTGCTGCTGCAAAGATGGACTCCAAAATCATGTCCAAAATATGAAAACAGAAAGATGGCGTTAAGTTACAAAGAGCAGAAGGTGGGAACACGCACCACTGCTGTGTCATTAAAAAAATCAAATGATCAGTTTTGACGTTTGAAGCGTGCAGATCGATTGGTGGTTTACATCACTCAACACAAGCAGAACTGCATTACAGAATCAGAAGCACATCTCTGTATAGTGACAGTTCTTATGATTTAAACAGGCAGATGTTCAGCATTCAAACTACAGGTGAACAATAGTCAAAGGTTTCCCTGCTAGTCAAGTACACACCTACACAGCATGTCAACAAACCGTGGTAAGGGTCTCTATGCATGAGTATTTACGAAGGGTATGTTGTGACGTACCTTTAAAATTACAGCGGTCCCTCGCTATAACGTGGCCTCGCTGTTTCGCACATTTTTTTTGTGCAAGTTTGCATGGTTTTTTTTTTTTTTTTTGCGCACAGCGCTTTGTGTTCTGCGTCCTGATTGGCTGCAGACTATTGTTGATCTCCTCCGTGCCGTCTCTCCTGTACAGTACAGAATCGCTGATTCATTAATGATTCATTGATGTTGAATTATCTCTCAGCTGCTCTGTTCTCATGTGCTGGACCTGAAAACACGGTTTGATCTTTGGTTTCTGTAATACTGGACTTATTTGTCTACGAAGGTTTGAACTTTGAGAGCTTAAACAAGAGAGAAACGTGTGAAAATGTTCATGCCTGTCTGAGTGTATATCAGAATCAGAATACTTTATTGATCCCCCAGGGATCAATAAAGTGTGTAGTGACGGGTTTTACCTTAAAACATCTATAATAATTGTAAAAAATAAAGTTGGCTACTTCAGATTTCACCAATCGCAGGTTATTTTTAGAACGTAACTCCCGCGATAAACGAGGGAGCGCTGTATACAGATACTGAGAAGTATAAAATTTGAATCCTGTCTCTCTCTGAGGCGCGGGGGGAAAAAATATCGACAAGTCGATCAACATCATCTACAGATACATTCGACATCTCGAGAAATGTAAATCGCCACTTGATTCGTCCATTTGGTTGAAAAACCCGACCGTGAACAAGGAGCGAATATCACACCGGAAACTAAGCGCTATGCGCCGGAAGTAGCATATGCTAAGGCGCACACAGGTCTAAGTTATAGGTCTAAGTTCCCCATAATGCACTGGATGTTTCTTCTTCACTCAACATGTGTTAGTAGACCTCTCTGCATTCAGCCCGTCTGCCCCTCATCTATCGATGGATGTTTGTTAGAGGCTTTGGTTCCCACTGTCGCTCACAGACGGTCACCTAATGTTTCCTGTGTAACTGCAGGGTCTTTGCCTTATAACATAGAAGCAGCTTTAGGTAACTGTTGTTGTGATGCTGTGTGTGTGTAATAAAGCTCCCTTACTGACAGTGGGTCACCACAGCTTGTAGCTCCATGTATTTGATGTGGCACGTTTGCCCTCGCTGACACAACCTTAAAGGGATTTGTGTGTATGAATAAAGTTTATTGTTCATACAGTTCATTGCCGTATGTCTGTGAAAGGCTGAATGAGGGTTGTAGCTCCCTCAGCAGCTGTGGAGCGATGGAGATGTGGTTGGTTAGACACGCTGCTTTAGTTTACACTACAAACCACACTCACCTGTTTACACTCCTTTTGTGTTACAACCACCTTGTTACACTCAAACACCAGATGATGCATCTGAGCCAACTAAGGATTCACTGAGACTGAAGAAGCTCGAGATCATAAGAATTTGAGGCTCAGCTGATACAGTATCATAGGAGAATCCAACCATTGTATGTCAAGAGACTATAGGCAGTGAAAGCTCCATCTGGAGGAGGAACAACGTGGTTCAGAGCGTTGCCTCCTGCAGCTGGTGACATGTTCAGATTTCAGCTCTGTCGGTTAGAAAGTCTGTTTTTGTTTTTCATCTGTGTGTTGCTCTTTCATCCTTTTCTTCTTCCTGTTTCTTGCATCAAGCTGGCTGACTTCACCACTGATGAGGTAACCATGAGCAGTAAGCCTCGTGTCGCTCACAGTTACATTTAACATAGTGCGATAAACACACTCAGTCATTATAAGGTACATCCTCTAAAGGTTCACATAACAGACAAACAGGATAATAAAAATGATCTGGTTCTTTGCAGCGTCCTGAGATGAACAACACACGACATTATTACACGTCTCAGTATTTGTTACACTGAACACAAATATAAACACAACACTTTTGTTTCCATGAGCTGAACCGGATCCTGACTGGTTTTGCGACATGTGTGTCATTGTGCTACACATGTACGGCATATTTCAGAGTGGCCTTTTATTGTGGGCAGTCTCAGACACACCTGTGCAATATTCATGCTGTCTAATCAGCACCTTGACATACCACACCTGTGAGGTGGGATGGATTATCTGCCATAAACAGATATTGTGGTCAACAATTTCAGTTCTAAAGTCACACAGCAAACCATTGTTATGGAACACAAATACAAACTGTGTTGATACATAATACAAAAAAATTGTAGCAATATGGTTTGAAATGCGGAAAGGTAGTGTGTTAGGGAGCAATTTATCTGACTCGTTTCCCTTTCAGTGTTCACACAACAAAGTAAATTCAGTGTGTTCTGAAATCAATATATTTCTTCTATGACTTTCAGGCTGGTAAGCAGGCAGGGCAGGTCAGAAGATGTCTTCATCATTTCTTCCTCATTAGCTTCCAGCAACTGCTTTTCTCTTCATATCTTCTGTAACACATTCACAACAGTTGATATTAACAGTGTTTAACCTGCTTTTTCTTTTCAGGTGGAAGTTTGGAAAGCTGTGAGGGTCTCAGGCAAGGAGTGAGCAAAAAGCAGAGGCTCAGTTCTTTTCTCCTGTTCTAGTGGTGACATCTTCAGAGAGCTTAGGATAAGTGTCTCCTCCATATTTGGAGCTTCCCCCCTTCTGCACACACCAGAAGGTATGATTCACTCTTTACTTGTGGCAGACGAATCTGTAGAACAAAGAAAGAACATTACAAAAATATTTTCTTTAATCATTCATTAAACTGAATTGTACATCATGTTTAATTTGGCCATTAGAGGTAAAGTATTCTTGGGGAAGACTAAACCCCAAATTGCCCCAATTCTATTTATACAGCACCAACAGCATAACGGTCAGTCGGTGCCTTTTTATATTGCAAGGTAAAGAACCTGTAATACATATAACATATTACAGAGAAATCAGAGAAAAAATCAGTTTAAAAAAAAGACTTTAAGTGAAACTTGAAACTAACTGATTTGTGTCATCTGGCTTCATAGATAAATGTATGTTGTCTAAGGGAAGCATGTTTACCCACACAAGCTTGAATATATCAATAAATAACATTTAAATAAATGAATAATCCCCTTTTTACTAGTGGTATATTATTATGTCTGTAATACAATGTTATCATGAACATTATGAAATACTGCTCTGAGGTTCAACACAGAGATTAAACCCTGTCATAAGAAGATTGTAACATTCACTAGTAATGTGCTATGATACAAATCTAAATCCTGGATGAATTCATTCAAACAAGCCATTCCTCTACAAATGAATCACAGTTGATGTTTCTATTCCACATTTGATGATGAAAGTCTTTGAATAACCTTGTAGGAGTGTGGTCTAATAGACATTGATGCTTTGGATGAAGTAATTATTGAAGCTGACTTGGTAAGTTCAATAGGACCAAAAGTGTTTGAATACATGTCAGCAGTTAATAAAGTTGTTATACTTTCTAAGTACCTGGTGTTGCTGTGGTTTCTCTGTTGTGCTGTTGTTTGGTTGTTGTTTTTTTCAGCAGGTAACCAAGCAGATTTTCAGTGTGTGTGTCACACTGATCAGTGTCAATTTAGGATTCAATATCTAACCCAAGGATATTTGACAAGGAGACCGGATTAAAACATCAACACAACTGGACAAACCAGTCTACCTCATGAGCCACAGCCTCCCATAATTTTAATAGAAATCCAGTAAACCTTGCAGTGAACTCATATTTATCATTATACATCCTAGTAAGTATAGTGAAATAAAATGCATTCTTTTACAAAGTAGGAGCATTTACAAACACGTTTCATGAACGTTTAATTAAAAACGCGTCTTATTTCATAGTGTAATCATCACATAACTTTTTCAAAGCACACTTTGTCTTGAACCGCCCACTAATTATATTCACACTAAGTATATATCCACACAATAATATCAGGGATTTTAAAATCTAGTCCCTTTATTGAATTCACACTGGGTCTTTATGGACTCACTAGCTTAGCTTAGCTTGTAACCGACTCGCTAGCACCATGACCTTTTCACCTATCCCTCATGCCCATTCTTGCGCAGGGTTTCAGATGTTTTTGTTACTTCTGTGCATCCTATAGCAGTAATGATACTTGTAATAAATGTAGTCTGTTTCATATGGAGGCCAGAATCACTGAAGGCCCAACTCCACACCCTTGAAAAACCCATAGCTAGCTAGTCCCCTGTTGGTGTGCCCAAAGCTAGCATAGGCACTGTTAGCGCGCCTCCAGCGGATTGTCCCGAGCTCCTGGGAAAACAGGATGGCTGGGTGACGTGAGGATGAAGCATAGTCCTAAACAGAAGACCTCTGTATATCGCCAACCTGTTCTTTTTCTAATCGTTTTTCCCCAATGGGCAACGTTTGCTGAGAAAAAAACAAATTCATAGATTTATTACTTCTAGACTGGACTACTGTAATTAGTTATTAGCAGCATGTCCTAAAAACTCCCTGAAATGCGTTCAGTTGATTCAAAATGTTTTTGTCAGATCATTTCTCAATATTACTTACATTTACAATAATGGTTTATGCCGCAGTGGGGAATAGATTGTATCACAGTAGATGTCTTTCTGAAAGTGCTGTAACTACGTTTTTAAAAAAAAAATTCATCCAATGTTATCATCTTTAACGCCATGTGGCTGTAGCTCAGGAGGTAAAGCAGGTCATATACTGATGCAAGGTTGGTGGTTTAAACCCTGGCTGTACCACTATGCATGCCTGAATATCCTTGGGCAAGATACTAACACTAAGTTGTTCTCCCATGCATCCATTGGAGTATGAATGAGTGTAATTGGTAGATAAAACGGACTTAAGCATAGAAGAATGTGATTGTGTGAATGAGGAATAAAGTGCTCTGGGAGAGTAGGAATCAGTCCTGTTACCATGTGCCAGTGCAGAGCAGCTACCTGAACTCTACTCCCACAGAGGTTGATTATCTTGTTAATAATTTTACATCTTTACTATGTACAACTCTGAAAAAGACCACTTCCAATCAGAAGTCCTTGACTCTCTGGTATAACTTTCAGACGCACACATTGAAGCAGATAATTTGGAAGCTGGAGAGAAAATGGCATCTAATTTAGAAGATCATAATTTAGCCTGGAAAAATACAACACATTACAATTCACCACTGAAGGAAACAAGAACAACCCTTGGTTTGTCTTCAGCACTGTAGCCAGGCTGACAAAAAGTCAGAGCTCTGTTGAGCCAAACTTTCCATTAACCTTAACTAGTAATGCCATCATGAATTTCTTCACAAATAAAATTTGAACAGTTGGAGAAAAAAAATGGTTGCATGGTTGTTGGCCAGCTCCCTTGGTGGTCCAGGGTAGCTCGGACTTTTTGAGAACCTGGGGCCACGGCTTATACCAGGGTGGCCTCTGGTCCTCTGTGACTCTTGCCCTTTGGTTGTAGGCACTCCATCTGGGGCCTCCCTCCTGTTGGGATGGACGTGCAGGTGTTGCAGAGATGTGTGGCCTCTGGTCTTAGGTACTCTTGGGGGCTGCGGATGGAATGGATCTCCTGGATCTACCTCTGTCTGCCTCTGACTCCTGGGGGCTGTTATTGCAGCTTCCCACCCTTATTTTCAAGTACATTTCATGACAGAGACAGACATTCACAGTCTCTTTCTCACAAACCACAAGACATCTGTGCATTTTCATATTTTTGTGTTCCAGGTGCTATATGTTTTTTCCAGTTGGTGATCCAGTGTGCATTTCTATTTGTACTGTATCCTTAGTTTGACCTCCTTCCTTTTTTTTCTCCTGCCTGTCCTGCCTTAGGATTTGTCATACTATAAAAGATATAGATATAGATCATTTAAGGAAAATGTGTTTGGCACAACAGTGCCTTCAGATCATAATTCTGATTGCAAAACCTTCTAGACAGGACAGGATTTTTGTTTTAAAAAAAAGAGTTTCAGTCAGGTTTCAGAGCTCATCACAGCACAGAAACAGCTTTAGTGAAGGTTAAAAATGATCTTCTTATGGCCTCTGACAGTGGACTCCTCTCTGTGCTGTCCTGCTATACCTCAGTACAGCATTCAATACTGTTCAATATATAATAATTTATTACAGCTTGCTTCCCTTGTGCAGTATCATTAGAAAGCACAGAGTACATTTTCACTGCTATGCAGCTTTATCTATCCAAAAAGCCAGATACCACACATCAATTTGTTAAACTGCCTGTCTTAATCTAAATGTCTTAAAGACATAAAGACCTGGATGACCTCTAATTTTCTGCTTCTAAATTCAGGTCAAACTGAGGTTATTGTACTCAACCCAAAATTTTAGATGTATGGTATCTAATCAGATGCTTACTCTCTGGATGGGGTTAGGATATGTTCTTCAATGATCACGTTAAAGAAACACGTAGGCCTGCTTTCCTACATGTTTCTTTAACGTGTAGAATGCAACATCTCTAAAATTGGAAATATCCTGTCTCAGAGTGATGCTGAAAACTAGTTCATGCATTTATTACTTCCAGGCTGGACGACTGTAATTCATTATTATCAGGAAGTCCTAAAAACTCCCTGAAAAGCCTTCAGCTAATCCAAAATGCTGCAGCAGGAGTCCTGACAGGGACTAGAAAGAGAGCAGATTTCTCCTGTATTGGCTTCCCTTCATTGGCTTCCTGTTAAATCCAGAATTCAAAATCCTGCTCCTCACATACAAGGTCTTAAATAATCAGGCCCCATCTTATCTTAATGACCTCATAATACCATATCACACTAATGGACTGCTTTGCTCTCAGGCTGCTGGCTTTCTTGTAGTTACAAGAGTAATTAAAAGTATAATGTGGTGGGATGGATGTGGATGGATATGTGTGTCTGTGCAGTTTCTGTGTGTGGGTCTGTGTGTGCATGTGGCTAGGAATGGGCCTTGATCCTCAGGGACATTGTTATTAGGGGTGGGGGATTCCCTTCCTGCTGCTCCTCACTGGTTGCCACAGACCTACCCACTTCCTCGGGATTTGAGCGCTTGGTGACTCCGGGGTACCTGACTGGGCGTTTTGGCGTGGTTGGTCGGCTCCCTTGGAGATGTGGTCTGGGGTAGCTTGAGAGCCTCTTTATCATATGGTGGAGCACAGCTGGGTTTTGGGTGGTTCTCGAACATCTCGGGGACTGTGGCTCCATCTGAGGCTCGTGTTGGGGTGGCCGGCCTCCAGCAGGGTTGACTGTCCAGTGCCTCTGGTCTGACACCCCCATCCGAGCTGTTGGAGCTTGTTCCGGGACCTCCCTCTTCTCTTGGCTGGGGTGGATGCATGGTTGTCATCGGGCTGTGTGGCCAGGTCTCTTAGGTGCCGTGAACAGTCAGGATCTCCTGGGTCTTTCCCTGTCTGCTTCTGGCTCTAGGGGCATGGCATTATTGCAGCCGCTCATCCTCAATTTTCAAGTACGTTCAATGACAAACACTTATACACAGGCACTCACATTGCCTGTCTCTCTCTCTCTCTCTCTCTCTCGCTCTTGGAGAAAATTGCATATTTGTTTGTTTGCGTTTTTGTGGTGTGTATCGTTTGTGTGTGCTTTGTTACAGAATCTATTCACTTCATCCTCAACCCCCCCCCCCCCCCTCCCCCCCTTTCTATTTTTCAGCTTTCTTCACTTATCTTTCACTAGTCTGGCCTTTACCCCTGTCTCGTCCTGCATAACAACATCTGCAAGACAGTCATATGAATAGTAAAATAAAGTAAACCAATAAAACAAAAACATTAGACTACATGGATTCTATGGTGCTTCCCTTGGGAAAGCAAATATGGTTAGCACAACAAAGTATTCAGAACATAATTCTGCTTGCCACAACTGCTGGACAGGACAGGTTAAAAAAAAAAGAAAAAAAAAAAAGAAACTACAATGGGAGGCAGGGCCTTCAGCTTGCAGGCCCCTCTGTGGAACCAGCTCTGAGTCTGGATTTGGGAGACAGACCCCCACTCTACTTTTTTGATTAGGCTTAAAATTTTCCTTTTTGACAATGCACACAAAGCAAATCGTTGCGGCTGGATTAACACTGTATTAGGTCAAGGCTGCTAGGGGGTTCCCATGATGCATGAAGAAGAGTGTTTCTTCTTCACTCACTATGTGTTTATACACCACTCTGCATTTAATCATTGGTTATTATTAATCTCTGGCTCTCCTCTACAGTATGTCTTTGTTCTGTCTTCCTCCCCTCACACCTAACTAACTGGTCAGGGCAGATGGTCGCCCCTCCCTGAGTCTTCTTCCTGTTGAAAGGGAGGTTTTCTTTCCACTGTTCCCAAAGCACTTGCTTATAGGGGGTCATATGATTGTTGAGATTTTCTCTGTTTTGTCTATATTATTGTAGAATCTTTACCTTACAATAAAAAGTGCCTTGAGGCAATTGTTGTTGTGGTTTTACGCTATATAAATGAATTCAATATATAAACAATTTTAATGACAGTGACATTGCTGACAAATCTGTAGAAACTATATACTGACTTGCAAAATCTCAAATGATTTTTTGTAATCCACTACACCAAGTTCTGAAACTGTTTGAGAGTAGAGGTGATGTTATTTTCAGTATAAATAAATAGTACATTCAAAATCAACCCAAGACCCAAAAAGATATGAGCCCCCCAGAACAAAGCAAAACAATATTTTTTTATGTTTTGTACGGTGTCTTGTATATGAAATGAAGTATCAAATAAAAACATTTCACTGAAGACGTGTTGAAGCTTTGACATATTGTTGAACATCCCATAATTTAAACCTGAAAAATAATGTTAGGCCAAACAAGGACATAGAGTCTTTCCCAGAGTTATTTTAAGGAGACTTGCAAATTACATATTTGTTGAGGAAAAATCTATTCTACTCAACCAATGTGGAAGTTAAATGGGAGACACAGATTCATTTGATTGATGTTCCCGATCTTTTTTTTAACTCTTTTTACTCAGACATTCTAATGTAGAACACTAACTGTAACTGATACAATATTTCTATAGCATTATGTCTGTACCCTGTGGAACAGGAGCAGGTGGCGGTGGAGAGGAATCACCAGTGGGTAATGGCAGGCTGGAGGTGCTTTCCTTCTCTGTAACAAATGCAAGTTTTCAATAGTGAATGTACACAGAGACTATGGGTAAGCTAACTGTGACAACCACTGTAATAGTTTATCAAATACATTGGAGAATCAAACAGATACATGCTTGTTTTTAAAAAGTGCTTTGTTTCTCATGTCAGGCAGAGAAAGACAATATGAAAGTGGATTAAAGATAGGCTTACATCCCTTGTTGCTTCCACACAGTGGGCAGGCAGAGCAAGAGATGATGGGCAGCTACTCAACTCTGTCATTGGATGAGAGAGAGGAATGTCAATGTTTATGATGTGTGTGCACTGTTGCAGGCATTTGGCTGTTTGTGTGCACTGTTTGCCATCCACATTTGTAGTAACACAAAGAAGAGAGAGAACCGATTAAAAAACAGTACGTATATGAGATGAACAGAAAGAAAAGCAATGCGTGTAAATAGAGGAAGAAAGCAGGTGGGTGAAAGCTGTGAAGTCAAATTGACTACTCACTTTTTTAATAGCCCCAAATGAAGCAAGGCACATGCTTTATGTCACAGGTGTCGAACTCCAGGCCTCGAGGGCCGGTGTCCTGCAGGTTTTAGATGTGTCCTAATCCAACACAGCTGATTTAAATGGCTAAAAGACCTCCTCAACATGTTTTAAGTTCTCCAGAGGCCTGGAAATGAACTAATCATGTGATTCAGGTGTGTTGACCCAGGGTGAGATATAAAGCCTGCAGGACACCAGCCCTTGAGGCCTGGAGTTTGACACCCCTGCTTTATGTGTACATGCTTTTGCACCACATTTATCCATCAGTCCAGCAGTATCACTGATCTTTAAAAACCTCATGACACTGTATTAAGATCCAATTTTCTGCATACGAGCGGTATCTTTAGAATGGCTTTTTATCACCATGTTCTGACTGACGCCTCCAATATAAACAGACATGGCCGGGATTGTACAGCACTTTGTTTATTCATAGTGGATCAGTGTCGTCTGGAACTCATTCAAGCCCACATATGTTTTTCAGGACAATACAGTGAGTTATACAGTATCTCACAAAAGTAAGTACATTTTTGTAAATATTTTGTTATGTCTTTTCATGGGACAACATTGAAGATTTGGCACTTTGATACAATGTAAAGTACTCAGTGTGCAGATTCTATAACAGTGTAAATTTGCTGTCCCCCTAAATAACTCAGCGCACCATTAATGTCTAAACCGCTGGCAACAAAAGTGAGTACACCCTTAAGTGAAAATGTCCAAATTGTGCCCAATTAGCCATTTTTCCTTCCTGGTGTCATGTGACTCGTTAGTTTTACAAGGTCTCAGGTTTGAATGATGAACAGGTGTGTTGAATTTGGTGTTGTTGCTCTCACACTCTCTCATACTGGTCATACTGGAAGTTTAACATGGCACATCATGGCAAAGAATTCTCTGAGGATCTGAAAAAAGGACTGATACTCTATACAAAGATGGCCTAGGCTATAAGAAGATTACCAACACCCTGAAACTGAACTGGAGCACGGTGGCCAAGACCATACAGCAGTTAAACAGGAGAGGTTCCACTCAGAACAAACCTCGCCATGGTTGGCCAAAGAAACTGAGTGCACATGCTCAGCCTTATATCCAGAGGTTATCTTTTAAAAATAGATGTATGATTGCTGCCAGCATTGCTGCAGAGGTTGAAGGCGTGGAGGGTCAGCCTTTCAGTGCTCAGACCATACGCCGCACATCACATGCCTGTCATCCCAGGAGGACGCCTCTTCTAAGGATAATGCACAAGAAAGCCCACAAACAGTTTTCTGAAGACAAGCAGACTAAGGACATGGATCACCTGTGGTCTGATGAGACCAAGATAAACTTATCTCAGATGGTGTCAAGGATGTGTGGCAGCAACCAGGTGAGGAGTACAAAGACAAGTGTGTCTTGTCTACAGTCGAGCGTGGTGGTGGGATGTCATTGTTTGGGGCTGCATGAGTGCTGCTGGCACTGGGGAGCTACAATTAATGGAGGTAACCATGCCATTAATACACAGTACATGCCACCATGTACTGTGACATACTGAAGCAGAGCATGAACCCCTCCCTTCAGACACCGGGCCACAGGACAGTATTCCAACATGATAACAATCCAAACACACCTCCAGAAAGACCAGTGCCTTGATAAATAAACTCAGGGTAAAGGTACGTGACTGGGCAAGCATGTCTCCAGACTTAAACCCCATTGAGCATCTGTGGGTGATCCTCAAATGGAAGGTGAAGGAGCAAAAGGTCTCTAACACCCACCAGCTCCATGATGTCATCATGGAGGAGTGGAAGAGGAGTGGCACCCTGTGAAGCTCTGGTGAGCTCCATGGCCACAGGGTTAAGGCAGTGTTGGAAAATAATGGTGGCCACACAAGATATAGACACTTTGGGCACAGTTTAGACATTTTCACTTAGGGGTGTACTCACTTTTGTTGCCAGTGGTTTAGATATTAATGGCTCTCTGTTATGTTATTTAGAGGGGACAGCAAATTTACACTGTTATACAAGCTGTACACTGACTACTTTAAATTGTATCAAAGTGTCATATCTTTAATGTTGTCCCATGAGAACATATAACAAAATATTTACAAAAATGTGAGGGGTGTACTCACTTTTGTGAGATACTGTATAGATTTCCACGTGTCTTACTAAAATACCTGGATTAACTGGACTAAATTTAAAATACATCTTTATCTTAACGTGGACTAGACTTCTGTCTATTTCCCTGCTTTCATAAATGGTCACATAAATATTGGTTGACTGATAAAAGTCGACAAAGATCTTCACCATGTCAGAATGATATTGACTGTACTTAAACAGAGGTAGACTGTACGGACTGATGTTGATGACATGAAGATGATGGTGTGGTGAAGGTTGCTCACTTGCCTGTCTTCTTGGGGATTCTCCATTCCTGCATTTCTTCCCTTAATCTATCCATTTCTTTCTCCAGCTCACAATATCGCATCTCTGCTTCATGAAATGGTCTGTAGGATAAAGTAAACTCTGTTCAGTGTCTTATTCTAAAAATGAATTTTAATATGTTGCAGTTACGTCATAGTTAGGGTAAATTTTAGCATTGTAAAAAAAATACCTCATACTATTTAACGAACCTTTAAAACCTGTCTGTACTTGACAATGCTACCTACAATTCAGTTTTGAGATCCCTTCCCTGGCGCGTCAATCCCCACTTACATCTTGCGTCAGGTGACCTCAATGGGTACATATTAGGGTGAGGCAAGCTCTCACAATGGTTTCACCCAAAGCCTCTGCTGACAATGACCCACGGCTTTTATCACACCTTGGCTCATGTGATGAGTCACATGATTAATATGACCCTCTTAAAGGATAACACCGACTGGGGATTAAATACCTGGGATGCTCCACCATTTGATTTTAGAACTGAAGAAGCTTCTCGGATGAGAGGTGAAATGTCTTCAAAAAAATTAAACAAGTCTAGTTGCTTTCTTTCCAAGCTCCTTAGAAAACCATGACCTTGCTAACTGAGAACCTATGGAAGCAGAGTCTGGGGAGAAGGGGGACAACTTGCCCATCACTGGGGTTTAGGTCACTATGTGGTTAAGCAACTGCACAGTAACAGAAAGGCTCCTGGAAACTTTTCATGTTGTAGGACTGTCTGACACATCTCCACAACATTGCATGGAGGTCTGGGACAGTGCCTCTGGACTGGCAGACTGGAGTGGTTCCCCTGTTTTAGGAGAGGGACATGAAGGTGTGCTCCAACTATACAGGATCACACTGCTCAACCTCCTTGGGAAAGTCTATGCCAGGATACTGGAAAGAAGAGTCTCTCCATTAGTCAAACCCCAAATTGAGGAGGAACAATGCAATTTTCATACTCGCTGTGGAATACTGGACCAGCACTTTATACTCTCGAGGTTATTCATGGGAGTTTGGCCAACCAGTCTACATAATGGATTGGATTTATATAGCGCTTTTCAAGGCACCTAAAGCGCTTTACAATGCCACTATTCATTCACTCTCGCATTCACACACTGGAGGCAGCTACAGTTGTAGCCACAGCTGCCCTGGGGCAGACTGACAGAAGCGAGGCTGCCATATCGCGCCATCGGCCCCTCTGGCCAACACCAGTAGGCAGTAGGGTAAAGTGTCTTGCCCAAGGACACAACGACCAGGACAGAGAGCCCAGGGATTGAACCGGCAACCTTCCGGTTACAGATGCGCTTCTCAACCCCCGGCGTCATGGTCGCCCCTACATGTGTTTTGTGGACATTATACCAATCCCTTTGAATATCCTGCGGGGAGTGCTTTGCGGGTATTGGGTGTGTGGCCAGTTGTTATTCAGTCCCTGTAGCGAGAGCTTGGTTTGTATTGCAGGCAGTAAGTCAGGCTCATTCCCTGTGGGTGTTGGACTCTGCCAGGGCTGCCCTTTGTCACCAATTCTGAGCCTAGTTTTTATAGATAAAAGGTGGTTCTGTTGGGTTCATCAGGTGGTGGCCTCCAGCTCGCACTGGAGTTTGTCAATGACAAACAGCAAACACCATACGAGGCTGAAACTATAGACACAGTGACCTCTCTTCCCCTGAGCTTCAGATCTTTGGACTAAGTTGTCTCTTTCAAAAAATAACTCAAAACTAATCTTTTTATACTTGCATTTAATAAAGTTTTTTTTTAAATGTATGGTATTTTCTTGTGAAGCATTTTGTGATCTTTGTCTTGAAAGGTGATATACAAATAAAATTTTACTTACTTGCTTGCTTTATCATTAACAGTATAACTGAGAAAACAATAAGAATTTCGCAATATAGCGCACTACAATTTTTTTTCTTCTGAATGTCTTTTTGTTATCTTGTATCCAGTTTTGTTTTTTGGTTGTTTTTTTTTCTTTACCTTAGTTGGGAGCTTATTTACATTATCTTCAATTGCTGAGATTCTCGTTTCAACCTGCATGATTCTTTCCTGATCAAGTCTTCTGGAACTGGAAAACTTGCCAATCCCAGGGCTGATCAACTTAGAGTTCAAGTAAACCTACTTGATCTGCTTTACAGTTCATGGAAGTTATTTATGGCCTAATGAAGGAATAAATGTCTAATACTAATACTCTAATACAAGTGGTCAGGTGTTAAATGTCACAGTCAATATGTATTTCAGAACAGATTTCAGAAGTCCAGTGGTGGTAAATAGTGCTGGATTGATTTTGTTACCACATTTCATAGTCACCATTATCCGTATGTAATATCTCAGCACATAAATTAACATGCATTGATAACAATTAGCCAGATGTCCATGATGTTAATGGCCTTTTGACCTCAAAAAGGAAATGCAAAATACACTGCAGCTTTTTCATATTGAAATATTTCCTTCAAGGACCAAACCATTTCCATATTAAATTTTTCTGAAAAAACTTAAGATTTAACATCCAATGAAGTGTAATAAATAAAGCCTACTGTAAATTGAGAAGAGATAGGAATTATATTCAGATTATGTAGATGGACTGCAGATGAGATTATATTAGCTGATACCTCTGCAAGTCTTCATCAAGTCCTGATATCGCCTCCTCCACTGTGGTGGTGTGGGTGGATGCAGCAGCATCTTGGTCTAAAGTAAGTGGAAGCTCAAACAGTGGAGGCAGATTGTCTGGTAGATTGTCTGTAACTTTCCATAGCTGACTCTGAATTTAAAGCACATGCAGATCATCAGTGGGATAAAAAGGAAAGTCCACTGTGATAATTACATGATCATAGGTGTCTTTAAATGGAAGCTCTGAGGTGTATGCAGTTTCTAGAGTGAGATCGACTTACCAGTTTTTCGAGTCCATACAGATTCTCACATTCCCTAAGCTGGGTGTGGTTTATCTGCATCATGATATCTTGACTGCGGTCAACAGCACCTGTCTGACTATAAAATATAGACAAAATAAAGAAGTATATTATAAGAAAAGTAATTTATTCCCTACAACAACTTTACCATGGGGATACTACACCCTGTATATAGGGACCTAGGGACTTCTGAAGATCCCCAAAGAAGGCGCCCTTTCAGAGCCAAACTTGGCAATATAAACTCACCCACCTAGAATCCTGCCAGACTTGCCACCATCTTAGTTCTGCTTATGGGGAACACACCCTATCACACCAAAAACTTCACGGTCTTCACCAACAAGGTCTGCAAACTTACACTGACTTTAAAAGAAAACATAGTGTCCTGTGATATGGTCTCACTTTTCACTTGTATACTTACATCCAAGGCAGTGGAGACTGTCAAAAAACAACAACAGCAAGACAGTTCCTTTCGCAACAGAACCAATGCCATGTGCCATGGGTTCCCCAGTCTCACCCATTGTAGCCAAACTTTACATGGAGGAAGTGTAAAGTAAACCACTTTGCTACCTCTTAAGGATAGTACCTAAGAGGTAGGTGACCCACTGTACTACCTGAGCTACAGCCACTGGTAGGTATGATGTATTTGTGAATGACACCTAAAGAGTAAAATACTTCAACAATTGTTGAACTAAGGTGGTGGCTTAGTTCAACAATTGTTGGTGGCTTATGACACCAGCTGTCAACTGCCTATAATGAAGTCTTTTAATCCCCACTCACACCTTGCTACAGGTGACCTCAACAGGTCACATGTTAGGATTGGACACGGTCTCACGGTTTCTTTTTCTTGTTTTTGTTTTTTGTTGTTGTTGTTGTTGTTGCTTTTTTCCCAGAAACACCTGGTGCATTAGCTCTGCGTTGTTTTTCACACCTTGATTAACACGATTAATAGTGGGTCAACCACCACATCCAAAGGGGACAGACCCCTACTGTGGTTTTAATAGCTCATTCAAACCTTTGGCTTTAGAACTTAGGAAGCCTGAGGGGATAAGGGTAAGGACATAAATCAACTGGTAAATAGAGAGCTTCGCTTAAACGCTCTCCTTTAGAGATAGGGCGAGGAGTTCAGCCAACTGGGAGGGGCTCAGAGTAGAGGAGCTACAACTTCACATGGAAAGGAGCCAGTTCAGGTGGTTTGGGCATTTGATTAAACTGCCTCCTTGGTGAGGTCTTCTGGGAGGAGGCCGGGGGCAGACCCAGGACACACTGGAGAGATTACATCTCTCGACTGGCCTGGGAACTCCTTGGTTTTTCCGTAGAGGAGGTGGTTGGGGAGAGGGAGGTCTGGGCTTCTCTGCTTAGGCTGCTGCCCCTGCGACCCAGCCCCAGATAAGTGGAAGAAGTTTGATGTGAAAGGTAGTTATGGTAAGTTAGCTGAACTACATAAGTTAAACTTGAGTTCACCTGGTAGCAGTGTAAGAGTATCCAACAAAAGCCAAGTGTACTCCTGTTGGAGCTCTGTCCATTACATCAGATAGTGTCTCCTGCAAAATATAACAGATTTCAAATTTTTCATGCAAACAACCACCAACTGCTCTTATTTTTTCAGAAGCTACACACATTTCCCATGTTGACCACACTGGCAGCTTTATAGGATTAGGTTGGTTTATTTATTAATGTTATATGCTGGCTATGAAAGTTAACCAAATATGTTTATATGAGACTTATGCCAGTGTATGGCACACACAAATACTAAATGAAAATTCTTTTAAGTTACCATTTCACTAAGACAGTCGTCGAGGATGTCAAAGTTTGATGTGTCAGTTGGATTAGAGACTTCAGGCAGGAAAGGTGCAGGGACTTTATGCAGGGAACTCCAGTCCAGTCCACTGAAAAACTGATGATTCCTAAATTCACTGGAGCCTTTCCTTCCAAGACGGACTTCCCTGTCACAGATCAGTTCATTGATGAAGGAACGAGCCTCCTTTGAAATCTCAGGGCCAGAAGAAGGAAACTCAAAATACTCCTAAGGGTTATCAAAAAAGGTAACAATTGAAGAAAGTTGTTAACTTTGTTGTTTTTTCTAGCAACATTATTTTGAGTGCTTTGATGCTGTTAAAAACTATGCTGTTAAAAATTATGATCCTGGCCTTGTTTTTCTGAGCATTCCATAAATTCTTGGTTTGTTTATGTGGCAGAGTGTGGTTTGTGGCTAGGGATGGGTATCGTTTAGGTTTTATCCGATACCGGTGCCAAATCTGTACTTTTGAAACGGTGCCGGTGCTCAAACGGTGCTCAAACCGGTGCTTAAAGAATGGAGAACACAAAATTGGTCCAAAAACCTCTCATGTTCAGCTGTTTTTTGTAAAAATATAACAATGTTAGCCTTTTCTGCAGCTATGGGGCATATATGGTATCACTCTTGGCTGGAAGCAGTGCTTAAACAATGGAAAAAACACAAACTTTGTCCTAAACCTCTCATGTTTAACTGTTTTCCACTTTTTTTTGGTCATTTTAGCCTTTTTGGCCAGGGTGAAGGGAGTATCTGCCATCAAACAAGAAGACAGCCGCATGTAGCTATGATGGTGTTTGCTAGTTCACCTTACATGCATTAATGTAATAACGTGGTTAGCCTACTCAACGTAAATTAGCTACTCACGCAGAGAAGAACGGCTGCTGCTGCATCATCATCCGTCATCATTTCTGCTACACTGGCAGGGCTAGGGGCCAGGACTCTCCTCTTCGTGTTTTTGGGGGATGTTGCATAACAGGCAACCCACCCGCAGTAGATGTGCTCGGTGTGAGGTCTCGCAGCAAGCTATCAAATACGGCGCATTTCTGGGCTTTTAAAAAAAACGCTATGCGTCGCCAGGTGTTTCATCGGATTTGAGGTGTTACCTCCTTTGACAGTATCACAGTATCAGCTTAAAGCACTTGTTGCAGGCTGCTGAGTTTGCATATTTTGCTGTGAAGTACAGCCAGACTTTTGACCGCTTTGCCTTGGACATTTTTAATCTGTAGCTCTGCTCTAACAGAACGTACGTACCTGGCCCCGCCTACTATCCTCGGAAACGTAAAATGATTGGCTAGAATCTAAAGTGTATCACAGCTCAGGGAAAAAAAGCACCGAAAAAAAGCACCGAAATGTGCGCTGCTTTTCGGTCTGGTTACTACCGTTTATGTCAGAACCGGTTCCATTATGGCACCGGATACCGGTACCCATCCCTATTTGTGGCTCAGCTGCACTGGGTTCAGGGTGTGGTGTCAGGGGAGCCCAGGCAGAGGATCTTAGCCTGCCCACAGCAGCCAGGAGCAGGTTAGTGGATGTCCACTGGGCAGTAGTTGACCGCTTGGGCGTCACGCCAGAGGACTATTGCTGGCGTTTCCAAGAGGGGACGTTTCTTCTCTTGGACTTTTTGGATTTCAGCAGCTATTCAATAAACTGCTTGCCATAAGTTAAACCCAGTTTGCCTCCCCAGGTCTGCATTTGGGTCCTCACTTCTCGTCTTCCATCTTATGACAAACTTTTACACAAATATAAAAGTATACAGAACCTATAGCTATACACTTGTTATTATATTTATATACAGTTACTTCAGAAAGTATCCATATTCATTTAACTTTTGTAGATTGTGTTTTAGATATAATTTAAAGCCCAATTGTGCTCAATTCCACACTTATCCAGTCCCTCTGTCAAAGTGTCAGTAAACAAGCATATAGTTAGGGCTGGACCAGGTGACCCTGAATCCTCCCTTAGTTATGCTGCAATAGACATAGGCTGCCGGGGATTCCCATGATGCATTGAGTTTTTCCTTTCCAGTCACCTTTCTCACTCACTATGTGTTAATAGACCTCTCTGCATTGAATCATTTCTGTTATTAATCTCTGTCTCTCTTCCACAGCATGTCTTTTATCCTGTCTTCCTTCTCTCACCCCCAACCGGTCGCAGCAGATGGCCGCCCCTCCCTGAGCCTGGTTCTGCCGGAGGTTTCTTCCTGTTAAAAGGGAGTTTTTCCTTCCCACTGTCGCCAAAGTGCTTGCTCATAGGGGGTCATATGATTGTTGGGTTTTTCTCTGTATCTATGAAGCGCTATATAAATAAAATTGAATTGAATTGAATTGAAAACTTCAAATTGCCTTTGCTTGGCAGAAAACGCATTGCATGAATAGACTAAGGTGGTCAGTTTGAATAGAAACTATTATGTAATGGCCAGTTAATATACATTTAACATGAAACAAAATAATAATTGTGTTTATGAAGCTTAGAACAACTATGACCTCATTCCTTTATCAGAAATCACATGAAGGTTATTATGAACTTGATAAGTCAACCAAAGGTTTTTAAACCACCTATACATCATGGTACTATAACCCTTGAAAAAAATGTACTTTAAGTTTCTCCACTGACTTATGAAAAACAAAACTGAAACAAACAGACAATCCAGACTAGCAGTGCTTATTTCTGTTTACACTGCATCATAGATATTAAACTGGTGCCATTATGCTATACACACTAGGTTGTATAAACAAATGAATAAAAACAGATTTAAACATTTGGAAATATTTAGTTACAATTTTTGTTTCAGTCCGGAGAATTACACTCAGATACTGTCTTCTTTAAAAACCTTTTTGGTCTGGATAAAGTGATAAAGGCCCATTTGGTCCATTATAATTGTTGAATTATGTGCCAAAATTGCATTTTGTTATTTTGTTTGTTTTACCAGCACACAGACGGATCATTAAAAATACTTGCAACAGAAGTGAATGGAAATCTGCCATCGCTATTAAAATGTGTGCAGAAATTTTATTATACTCCAAATTTTCATTTTGGCATTTATATGACATTAAAGCTACTTGTATGTACCTGAAAGTGAATGATCTTGGCATATGTTTCAGAGATGGACTCTGCATAGAAAGGTGTGGTCCCCAGCAACATCTCATAAGCACAAATGCCCAGAGCCCACCAGTCACACTCAGGACCATAACCTCCACCTCCCTCAACTGCTCTTAAGATCTCTGGAGACAAATAGTCTGGGGTCCCGACTGCTAAAGACGAGTGCACCTGCAAAGAAAAGAAGATAGATTTAAAAAAAAAAATAGAAATAACTAAAAGCCATGACCTGCTTCAAGGAAATACTAGAATGTAGCAAAATCATCGCTGCGTGTTTTTAGTCCTGTCTTAAAAATGAACAAATAAGGAAGCTCCATGACAAGTAAACTGAGTTTTTGTTGTTGTTGTTGTTTGTTTGTTTTTGTTTTTTTAATTACAGCCGAGGAGGTCAGATGCGCCCTCCCTCTGAAAGCAGTCTTGTCACAGACAAACAGAAGAAAATGGTATTGAGTTGAAAAGGAACACAATTTGTCCCGTACTTCAGCTAGAATGAAAAAAAGACTCAAAGCTGGAGTTATTAAGTGTCTTTACGCTGCGCAGCTGCCTCTTCTTCTCTCATTCTCTCTCCCTCCCTCTCCTGTTGCTACTTCAATCGTGAAACTGATCAATGATCAGCTGATTGGCTTTTCTCTCTTGTTTGTTTATCGCCCACTTTGCACCAGAAAGAGAAAACCAGCGGATGTCGCGCTAAACAACAGCAGCAGATTTAAGCTCGATGAGCTGTTGTTAGAATTGATTTAATATTACTTTCTAGTATCAGCTGATGTTTGCTGGGTCTAGCAAAGTTTTTCCAGGGGGGGCAGGTAGGGCATTAACAGGGATTGGGGGGCACAAAGAAATACTTTTCTTTCTTATTCTCATTTAAAATGTCTAGCTTTTAATAAATAATTATCTGACTCTTACAGCCAGAGTGGTCATAATGTAAAATGTATAGAAAACATACATATATACCAACAAGACAGTGTGCATCACTGTCACAACACCATTTGTGTTCATTCAAAGGCTTCATGGCTTTTCCTATAATACCTGGTGGGCTGGTCTCTAGTCAAAATGCCCGGGCCGATTTTTTTGTCCCAGTCCAGCCCTGTCCGGGTCAAGGGATGTGCAGACCTTCCTCTCTCCAGGTATTCCATGACATATTGTAATCTTTACTGTAAAACTAGACTGTTGCTATGAGTTAGTTTAAGAATGTAACTGAGAATGTATGAGAGCACTACTTTTAGGAGACAGTGTTGCTTTTTATGCACATCTTTTTTTGTGAAAACTAATGTCTGTCTGTCTGTCCGTTGTTACTTGCACACAATGAACTCTCACCATCCCATCATCAAGTAGCCTCAGACAGGAACCAAAGTCTCCCAGTCTAATATGCCCATCAGCTGTCAACAGGATGTTGTCAGGTTTGATGTCTCTGTGTAAGAAAACAGGTAAATAGGGCTATTTAACCTCTAAATGTCAGATTTCATTAACAAAAAAAGTCATTATGATCAAATGATTATAGTTTGTTTATGTTAGTCAGTTTTAGGAAAGAGCTAATATTATATTTGAACCTCATATCTCTGATACATATATTTTAGATAATGTTTCTCTGCAAACTCGGTACACAGCAAATTCAAAAGTGTTAAATGTTTTGGTGTTAATAGTCTTCTTGCAAAAGTAGAGTTAATTTTACTCTAAGCAGAGTCACATTCTTTTAATGTAACTCTGAGGTATAAAATGATAGTAGTTAAAATCAAGTGTTAAAAATGAGTGTTTCTCTGTCAAATCTGGAGGTGTTACAATGGAAACATTAACTCTTGACCTCTTAACTCTGAACTCCTACAGGGGCTATGACACCAATAGAGTAAATTCACAGACTCCGCCCCCAGCACGGCTCCAATCGAAGCTGAAGTGAAGCCGTTTCAGAACATTTTGCTCTACATATTTGAGTTGTTTGCCATGCTTGGTAAGTCATTTTTATAAGATTGTTTCAATTATTATTATTTGCTTTTACTTCTGTGGCTCTTTGGAGTTGAGACAAAGCTGTGTGAAAGGCATTAGCCATGTTGCTCGCTGATAGCATAATATTCTGTTTTAGCTAGCTGAAAGGTATTGTTTGCGGGCAAATACCACAGCCTTGAAAAAAAGCTTGCATGTGAATTTTCAGTCAAACTTTTGGTCAAATACACCTAAAACAATGTCTAGAATGTGAAATGTTGGTATAATGGTGCTACTTGAAGCCTGAAAACGATCGCCCATAAAAAAAAAACGAGCAAACAGCAGTAGCTGATGTCCTGACTGGGTTCTACGTTAGCATAGATCCCTCCAGAGTTTTGTGCACACGGTTTAGGTAAAAATTAAAAAGGTTGAGGTTTTACATTTAGTTCAGTATTACCTGTTGCCTGTGTCCTTGTCTTTTGGGAAAATACTTTACGCAAGTAATGGCTCAAAGAGGATTCTTTTTTTTTTTTACTGTGCTGCAATTGTTTACTGGATTATTTGTGCCATTAATTAGTGTCAACTAATTTTTATTCAATCTCCGCACAGGTTATGCTTGTGAAGATGGAATATGGGGGAGAGCAGAAGTGCGTTGAAGTTCCACAAAGGGATGAATGAAGGACATGCATATTGTATTGAAGAAATAAGTGATGAGATGCTGTTATTTGCATTTACCATGTCAGACCTTTTGATAAACAAAATTCTAATGAAAGTGAGAACATGTATACTGTTACATCTTTCAGAAAATGTTTTGAAATTGTGGTGCACAGTTCAGAATAAATGTTTTTCAAAAACCATTGCATCTTTTTAGTAAATGTTTATTTCCAAAAGAAATTTCTAGAAGTTCAGAACAGTAAAATTCCCGCTTTTTAGAATGAATTAGAAGATAACTCTTACGTAGTTAAACTAAAATACTCTTTGAGAGTTAATATATAAACTCTTAACACCAAGTGTTAAATTATCAACTCCAGACAGATTTGGTGTTTAACACTAAATCAGAGTTAACGTACCAACTCTCCAAAAAGAGTTAAATTAACACTCTCTGGTGTGGACCCATATAGACACTTTAATAGTGTTGAAATCAAATCCGACAGTGTTAATTTGGACATGCTGGATTTGCTGTGTATGACTGTAGCCCTAAATAAGAAAAAAAAAGTAAAAAATCAATAAGCAGTCTACCTGTGCACATAACCCAGTCTATGGACTGAGTCAATGGCCATAACCATCTCTGCCAAGTAGAACTGAGCCATGTCCTCAGGGATCCGATCCTCAAATTTACTGAGGAGAGTCAGCAGGTCTCCACCTACATAATAATCCATCACCAGGTACTGAGTGAGAAGGGATTGGAAGGTTGTGAAAATTAGTAATCGGATTCAAGTTAAATATAAAATGCTAAAATGTAGACAACACATTTGTAAAACATATTTATCTGATTGACCATATATAAACATACCAGGTAGTTATCATCTTGAAAGGCATAGTGCAACTCTGTGATCCAGCGTCTGTCACCCCTTAACAAAACTTCCCTCTCTTCTTGGTAACATGCTGTCTGTGTAAAGCATGAAGAGAACTCGATGCCAGACAAATGAAAAGCAGCAGGCAGAAAAATATAATGCTGAATTATCAATAACAAAAACCTTATAGAGTTAAAGTTTGAGTCCCCATTATGTTGTCATAACCCTATTCTTAGTGTTGTGAATGTGAGGTTATCTGTGCTTGTGTACCTCTCCTCGCCTCAGCATGTCCCACTTATTCATAATCTTCAGAGCATACACTTGTTGTGTGTTTCGCATCTTTGCCACTGCGACCTGTGGTAGTGACAAGACCAAAAGCAGCACAATAACCACTTAAACGATTGGATGCACAAAACGAGAAGACTGTCATAATTGGTGATTTGTCTAAAACATTCTAACAGTGAGAGATGGTCGTGTTCTGTATCGAATTATGTACAAATGAAACATTGCTTATTGGAATATTTGAATGTTTTGACAAACACTCATTCACCTGCCAAATATCAGAATACTTCTCAGTATAATAGCTCAAAGCATTGCTTTGGGGAACTTTTTTTTGTTCTTTTGGTTCCTCTTTTTCAATTCAGTTTGTTCAACTGAGTTCTATTTATATAGTGTCAAATCACAACAACAGTGTTGCCTCAAAGCATTTTATACTCTAAGGTAAAGACCCTGCAATTATACAGAGAAAACAGAGAAAACCCCAACAATCTGATGACCCCCTAGGGGCAAGCACTTTGGCAACAGTGTGAAGGAAGCCAGACTCAAGGAGGGGTAGTCATCTGCTGCAACCAGTTGGAGGTGAGGGGAGTAAGACAGTAAGAGAGCCTGATGATTAATAATAACTACCTGCAGAGTGTTGTATAAACACATAGTGAATAAAAAGAGATGAATGAAGAATTCTCAGTGCATCGTGGAAAGCCCCCAGTGGCCCAAGCCTATTGTAGAATTAATTAAGGGAGGAGTCAGGGTGACCTAATCTAGCCCTCAAAAAGGAACATCTTAAGCCTAATCTTAAAAGTAGAGAGGGCATTTGTCTCCCAAATCCAAGATGGTTTCACAGAAGAGGGGCTTGAAAGCTAAAAGCTCTGTTTGCAATTCTGCTTTTAAATATCCCAGGAACAGAATCAGAATCAGAGAGACTTTATTTATCCCCAAAGGAACTCCAAGTAGCCAGCAGTCTGAGAGTTAAGTGCTCCTTTGGGGTGATATGGTACTATGAGGTCTTTAAGATAAGATGGGGTCTGATTATTCAACACTTTGTATGTGTGGAAAAGGTTTTTAAATGTGATTCTGGATTTAACGGGGAGCCAATGAAGAAAAGCCAGGATTAGCAAGATCTGCTCTCTTTCTAGTCCCTGTCAGTACTCTCCATGCATGTAATGAATTACAATTGTTCAGCCTACAAGTAAAAAATGCACGACCTAGTTCTTCAGCATAAATCTGAGACAGGATGCTTCTAATTTTAGAGATATTGCACAAAGATATTGCTGCAATGCACTGTGTTGGTGCATGGCAATTAAGAAGAAGTAGGCGGCAGAATTATATCCTTAAACATAGTTTAAGAACAAGATCCAGAGTGTGATTAAAGTGGTGGGTTAGTTCTATTCTGTTTTGAGCAAAGGCAATTGAGCCTAATAATCAATTAAAGGCCATCTTGATGCTGTCATTTTCAGTATCTGCACTGATGTTTAATTCACCAACAATAATTATTTTCTCTTAGCTGAGCACTAAATCAGATAAGAAAGTCTGAGAAGTAAAGTACAAAAGCCCAGGTGGATGATAGGTAACAACAAATAATAAAATAATAAAATACTTTAACCCTAAGTCCTCAAAAACACATCCACCTTTGATCCTCGAGCCAAAAAACGGCCACGCCCAAAAAAGTGCTATAAAAATGTTATATATTAATATTTTTTTCCACTTTAAATGAGTCAGTCTTTTAAAACTACTTCTGCCTGAAATATATAAAGTTTTAATTATATTTCGGGGGTTTTAACCCTTTAAATCCCAGTTTCTTTACATGAGCGCACTGGTTTTTTAGCCGAAAAAAACAAAAAACTTAAAAATTTTCCAGAAAATACATTTGAAGTAATATTTGATTGTTATTATAATTAGGCCTTTATATGGGACAAAAATTGCCACCAACATTCATTTTGATCCATCATTATTTTTTTTTTTTTTTGCAGGGGCAGTAAATATCATGTTTTCACGTTTTTCCACCACTAAATGCTTATTGCCTTGTTGTTTTTTAAAATAAAATAAAAAAAATATGTAAATAAAAATACAAGATCACTTTGAACCAGAAAAACATTTATTTTAGAAGGATAAACTTCAACATTTATGTTGTTGGGAATGTAGAAATGTCATTTCCTCTACTGCCAGACTGGCTCGATTTATGTCCACAATATAGTCCACACAGTCACTGTAAAATGAGACGCCAAGGAGGTTGTGGAAGCCACCGATTTATTCTCCTCCTGCAGGAGTAGGTGCCAACAACCTAACAAAAAATGAAAACAAAAGAAAAGAAAAAAAACCTGTGTATATTTTGGACAAGAATGGGCAAGAATGAAAAAAATGCGTGCGTAACTGACACGTAATGACATGTACCTTTTTGCCCAAATCTTTATACCATATTTCACCGGCTTTTTTGGAATGTACTGCCTGAAGCTGCACCTGCCTCTGAATGGGACGAGTTTTTCATCCAAACAGGTCTCTGTCTGGACGCACAGCATACAGGTGGTGCGCCCACACTATGAAGGCAGCCATCTGGCAGCCGTTGGTATAGTTTGTCTTCATGTCATCGGCATCGCCTGTCATCATGCCGTCAAGCGCAGCGTCCTGATGTGATGAAACCTGTTGTGGGACATCGTAGCCCGGATTTCCCACTCGAGAGGCAAAGGATTGTTTCATTCTTTGACCTGTAAACACCGGCCAAAGTGAGCAGCCCACGTGAGTAGCACAAATTTCCTCTGTCCATATTTCGCTATTCTGCGCCTCCCGTATGGTCATAAACTTGATCCCTTAGGAGCTGTGCACAGCTGAATATAGTTGCATATCCAGAGACAAAGAGGAGTTGAAAAGGGTGCAGAGAGAGCTGAGGGGACTGATAAGGAATGGGAAGGACAGCTACAGGCAGAAGATGGAGAACCAGCTTCAACAAAACAACGTTGGTGAAGTCTGGAGAGGCCTCAGAACCATCTCGGGCCACAAACAGCAGAACTCTCTGCCTGGGAGGGATGTGAGATGGGCAAATGAACTGAATCATTTCTTCAACCGATTTGACTCAGCCATGAGGCAGTCTGCAACATCGGCTGCAGACTCACCCACCCCCACTGCTGCTGTTCCACCTCTGACACTTCACACCTCCTCTATTCACCCTGCTCACTCCCCCCCACCCCCAACAACAGCTTCCAACACACACTCAACACAAGGCTCCAGCCTGTCTCTCTCAACCACCCAGGTTAGGAGGGAACTGAGGAGGATTAATGGCAAGAAGGCAGCGGGCCCAGATGGCATCAGCTCGAGGGTCGTCAGGTCCTGCGCGGACCAACTGTGTGGGGTGATGGAGCACCTCTTCAACCTGAGCCTGAGGTTGGGAAGAGTCCCACAGCTCTGGAAAACCTCCTGTGTTGTACCAGTGCCAAAGACTTCACGCCCCAAGGACCTCAACAGCTACAGGCCGGTGGGTCTGACATCCCACCTGATGAAGACCCTGGAGCGGTTGGTCCTGGCTCAGCTTTGGCGCCTAATAAGCTCATCACTGGACCCACTTCAGTTTGCCTACCAGCCTGGCATTGGAGCGGATGATGCCGTCATTCACCTCCTACATCGTTCCCTCGCTCACCTGGAGACCGCTGGAAGCACTGTGAGAATCATGTTCTTTGATTTCTCCAGTGCCTTCAACACCATTCTTCCCTCAGTTCTAAAGGACAAGCTGGTGAACTCTGGAGTGGACCATCACCTCACTACCTGGATTTTGGACTACCTCACCGACCGACCACAGTATGTGAGGACTCAGGGCTGTGTGTCGGACAGGGTCGTCTGCAGTACGGGGGCCCCACAGGGAACGGTTCTGGCTCCGTTCCTCTTCACCATCTACACTGCAGACTTCTCCCACAATTCCACCCAGTGCTTCCTGCAGAAGTTCTCTGATGACTCTGCAATAGTCGGCCTCATCACTGATGGGGACGACAAGGAGTACAGAGGTCTGACTCAAGACTTTGTGGACTGGTGCCAGCTGAACTACCTCCAGATCAACGCCAGTAAAACCAAGGAACTGGTGGTAGACTTCCGCAGGCACAAGCGTTCTCCACTGCAACCACTGAACATCCAAGGTATGGACATTGAGGCTGTGGACAGCTACAGGTACCTTGGTGTTCATCTGAACAACAGACTGGACTGGACTCATAACTCAGACGCCCTCTACAGGAAAGGGCAGAGCAGGCTGTACCTGCTGCGGAGACTCAGGTCGTTTGGAGTGGAGGGCCCACTCCTAAAGACCTTCTATGACTCTGTGGTGGCTTCTGCTATCTTTTATGGCGTGGTCTGCTGGGGCAGCAGCATCTCTGCCGGGGACAGGAAGAGACTGAACAGGCTGATCCGAAGGGCCAGCTCTGTTCTAGGATGCCCTCTGGACCCAGTGGAGGTGGTGAGTGACAGGAGAACGGCGGCTAAGCTGTCATCCCTGTTGGACAACATCTCCCACCCCATGCAGCAGACTGTGACAGCACTGAGCAGCTCCTTCAGTGGGAGACTGCGGCACCCACGGTGTGGGACGGAGAGATTTCGCAGGTCTTTCCTCCCCACTGCTGTCAGACTCCATAATAAAGACTTTAACTGAACAAACACACACATCCATACATATGCAATAATACTAAGTGCAATAATCTTTTCTGGCATCGTTGTATTTTTACTCAGTTGTATATAGCATTTGTATTTGTATTCTATTTTTATCTTATTGTATATTTATTTTATTTTATTATACTGTATATAGTATTTTATTTTATTCTATTCTGTACAGTTGTGTACTGTATTTATTCTTATTGTATCCTAATTTTTGCCTCATAACTTTTGCACTGTCCACTTCCTGCTGTGACAAAACAAATTTCCCACGTGTGGGACTAATAAAGGTTATCTTATCTTATCTTATATATATATATGTATATATATATATATATATATATATATATATGTATATATATATATATATATATATGTATATATATATATATATATATATATATATATATATATATATATATATATATATATATATATATATATACACACACACA